AAAGTGCATCTTTTAATTTTTGTTTCTTTTTTTCTAATTCTGTCGATGATTTTTCCTCTTCTCTACGTAGTTTTAGCACATTTTTCTTTAGCTCATTATTAGACTTTCTCAAAGTTTCATTTTTGTTTTCTGTGCTTCTTAACTCTTTTTCCAAAAGAGATCTTTTCTCATTCAACCTCATTATACTTTCTTCTGTAACCGCAATTTCTTCTTTTTTTGAAATGGCTATTTCTTCGCATTTTCCGATTCTCTGCCATTCTGTATCTATGTTATTAATTATGCTTTGAGTCAGACTTAATAGGGAAGCATCGAAATTTTTAAAGTATTTGTCTATGGACATTTTTTCTTCCTTAAAAAGCAAAAAATTACCAATGAGAAAAAAAAATGCTTGATAAGGTTATTAATATTTCAATTTTATTTTATTTTAGTTATATTTTATAATTTAAAATTATTAATAACGTGTCTACAAGCGGTAAAATATTAATTCTGATCCATAAGTTTAGACATTTAATGAACAGCTCACATTTAAGAACTTTTAAAATCACTGAGAAGGCTTACGAAGTATCGTCTTTTTATGGATCAATTTTTGACATGATAAATCTGTTATGTCTATACACACACTGGACTGGCCAATGAACTAGAAACCTTAATATTTTAATGAACTTCTTTTTGCGTGGACAACAACCTGTATTCTAGAGGGCATAGATTTTAAAGGCTTCTGAAGCGCACTTATGCCCAAAGAATATTATGCATTGGTTAGTTTCCTCAGAGAATTTATATTTTAAAAATCTTGTAAATTAGATGAAAGAGAAAATTGCCGTCGGATGTGTCCTTAACATGTTAGGTTCAGATCCGATCTTTGCAGTCTCCAGGAAAAAAAAGTGTTGAAAGTCGTTTCGGAGTTTTGAACGCTTCTGGCACTATGTATTGTACACTATCTTTTGTGAAGTATCCGCAAACTTCGGAAGAGAAATTCATGCCTTTGTGGGATTCAAGCTGAATTCTGCTTGTTCAATCAGAGAAAAACACGATGTGATGTAGCGTGTATCATTAGTCCAGATAAACCGTGTAGTCGTTACTGTGTAAACGAATTTTGGCATTCTAGGCAGAATGAGAGATTTCCTGACAGGCATCTGAATAAGTATTCGCCTCCTCTGCAATTATCTGCGCATGGCTCACCCCGAAATCAGTTTGGATAAACCTTGTTAAGACGATGTCCATCACCGTGTTCGAACCTAATTTACGTCTTCTAGACTATGACTTTTTTTTCCTCTTTTCTTCCAGACGTGGACACGTACCTATAGGTTTGCAAAACCCTTAACCGTATAGTCCACGTCTGGCCGACAGTCTAGCTCGCACAATAAACAGAACATAAGCAAACAATTACAAAATTCATAACTTCGCCACAAATACAAAGCACAATTGCGTTATGCAGATGACAATAATGTGTATCACATTAGTTAATAAAAAATAAATAAAAAAAGTGAAACAACAGATGAAGCAAGAACAATAGTGAGTACACCAGTGAACAGCAAATGGATATGAAAAGTAGCATATGTAGTTGTTGACAAGAAGAAACGTATTTCTAGACTATAACTGTGGGTTCTATTTCAAACTTTTGATGTGGTCGGTTTCAAGAACCCAACGGGTTCTGTTGTCTCCACGATCGTGCCACCTGCTCCCGCTATATATATTGGCACCAACAGTAAGCTCAAATTCAAATGATGAAACATCTGTCGTTTTTCTCCAATCATACTGTGATTATTCTGAAATGCACCTTAACCATTTTGATGAGATTTACCGCTCGTCATAAACTGATTTTGCTACTAACGATAACAAGCAATTAACAGAAAATCTCGATTGGTTCTAGTACATTGGCCATCATGTGTATATATTAGTTAATAAATAACAATTCCTAGTAAAAATTAACTACTTATGTAGACATATCTTTAGATGCCAATTTATAACATATTTAGTAGTCATTATTCATAAAAATTTGTGAAGCTCAAGCACCGGAGTTGCGTTTTTTAGAAGCAATATGCGTGAAAGAATTAAAACGGCATTTGAAAAGGGAAAAAGTTTAAATTCGTTAGTTAATAGCTCTTGTTTTGGTTCATAAAAATTTTAATTAAGAAATAGAAAGGTATTTGATGAGACTTTTATTTTCGTTTACAATATTTATTAACTTCTACTAGTTAAGATCGTAAAAAATATCGTGTGAAGTAAAAAAAAAATATATAAAAAATACATATAAAATAATCTATTAGTATAATTATAGATTTGACCATTAATATCTATCTACAAACACATATCCTAAAAAAATTACAGATTTTTTTTGTTTTTTTTTGTTACGACATCTTGCTACACATGTATCAATTTGCAGCATTGGTAGGATAGGAAAGCTATAGAAATTTATTAAGGTATCTTGCGCTCTTTTGCAGCTAAGAAAGAGAAATGCAAATTTTTTAGAATTGGAGGATTTGAATTTCTTAAACTATTGCAAGCCGTATAAATATTTTTTAAAAAATCAAGGGATTTGTTACAAATTTGACAATATATAGCACAGCTTTCAAATTTTCTTAGTTATTATACTAATAATAAAATCTACTAATAAAATATTTAGAAAGCAGCATCCTTTTTTCTCTTCTTATTCTTTATATCTATTATTAATTCACCCACCGGCCTGTGTAGGGGTTAGGGAATTGCATCAGAAATGTTCGGGGTTCGAATCACGGGCAGAACAAATCTGCCTTTACATGCCTGTATGATGCCCAAGTGGATCATTCTAAAAAAGGTGGTCATTGGAAAAAAAATTTATTCACTTCTCTTAAAAAAATCTTGCAGACATTTTTAAAATTAAATTACAAATCAAAAAATCGAATTTACACAGGATTCTTCATTTTTTAGTGAAATAATATAAAAAGGAAATATAAGATGTTATATTTCAGAGTTATTGTTGCTCAATATACTTCAATAGCTTTGTAACAAATGCATTTAAAGATATTTTAAAAGTAACAGTATTTATTTAAATAATTCTGTCAATTTAATTCAAACAATTCTGGATAAAAGCAAATTAATTAATTAAAAAATATATAGGGTTATTTTGAGATATATGAGGTCAAACGTTAAAACAGATTATCTTCATAATTTGACCTTGATACAGAAGGTCAAATAGTTTAATTCTACTTTGCGTCAGAAGGTCAAATATGGCAAAAATTGAAAGGGCAATTTGTTGGCTTTGGTGTTTGAAATTTTCCTTTACAACAATTAGGAAAAAAGTTACAATCATTTATAAATTATGCAAGTTTGCAATTTTTTGTGAAAATTTTAGTTTTTCACATGTCTTTAACCTGGACAATTTTCAAATTAAAAATCTAAAAATTGGCCAAATTTTATACTTTATCGAATCATTAATATTCGACATAGTTCCAATTCAATTTGTCTTTTTTGGTAAGTTAAGCAAACTTTAATTTTGCAAAACGAGTTTTATTTTTGCGAAAAGCTGACAAAATATGCATTTTTGTCGCAGGTAAAATAAAGAATAAAAACTATAATATAAGTGAAATCAGGAAAATAAAGAAAAACATACTTTTCCTAAGAGTTAAAATAGAAAAATTAAAATTCTTCTATTTTCATCAAGAAGCCAACAATAGTTTTTTTTTCTTTATTAAGAATATAAAAAATAAGATAATAAATAAATAAAACTAAGACAATTAAAGTTTGCCTTAAAATTCCGATGACAAATTTAATAAAATTTTGGCCATCGATGTTTCATTTTAACAAAAATCACAATGCATATGAATCAATACAGTCCATAGGTATTCATTATAATGAATACGCATGATGACAAGTGAAATTAAGTAAATGCAAGCAAAAATGATCTTTAAATCATCAAAAACGACGATAGTTACAGGGAATAGCTAAACAGTGCACCTAACTATAAATATTAAGATAAAAATTTCAGTAGCACAGTAAGAAAATAAATTAGTAAAAAAGTAATTTTTTTAAATTAGGAAAAATATAAGGTGCACTAAATGAAATTGTTTTAATTACTTAGGCAAATTTAATAAAAATTTCGACCATCATTGTACGTTAATCACAATACATATACATTGATACGGTACTGTATTTAATGAATAGTCTTAATAGTAAGGAAATATGAATTCGTTCAAAAATAATCTTCAAATGATTGAAAATTTGATAATGATGAAATTGCTAAACATTCCAAGCAACTATAAATATTAAGATAAAGTTTTTTAGTAATAATAAAGTGAAATAGTGTAAAAGATATTCTAAATTGTCAGATTTAAAAGGATTTTTTTACATTAGAATTATTCTAAAATTAGGATAAACATAAAAAGCACAGACTTAGGTGTTATCATTTTAATTACTAACAATAATTTTATAGCTAATTAACAGCAATGCAATCGCAATTTTTATTGTGAAAACCCAACTTTTTTTTCATTTATTAAATATTTTGAGCAAACTTATTCATACCTTATCTTTCACCAACTTGATGACTAGAACAACCTATTTTAGTACAGAGGAAAAAATGTATAATAAATTTGTAAAAAATCGTCTGAATAGTGAAAAATGTAGAAATATTTTTTCTGTCTCTTTTTTTTATGCATTATTTATAATTATGCATCATAAAACTTTTTTCGATCATAAAACTGCGTAAATTTATGCAAGATCTTCAAAAAAAAATTTCATAAAACATTTTGTTGAATGCAAGAAATACAAACAAATAGTCTGCAAATGAATATTCCAATTTAGATTGGTGTATGCCCATCCGTAGTCAAGCTAATAATTTTATAATTCCTTACATAAATTTTCTAAATAACGTTCAAAGGTCACGCAGCTTCACTGCGCGAGAATTTCTGAAAAAAAAAAAAAAAAANAAAAAAAAAAAAAAAAAAAAAAAAACGCAAGTGCTCCTGCAAGTGAAAATGTTCCCACTAGTTTGTAAGAAAAACCTTAATGTTTACAAAAACAAGTAGTTGAAAGCGTTTTACTTCACTAAAAATGTAAACAACAACATGCAGAACAAAAAATTGATTAGAATGAATATTTTCAACGAGTTATTTCAGTAATAATTTTTAGTAAGAGTATTATCAAATAAATATTGAACTGAACAAACCTTTCAAATGCATAAAGTTTAAAAATTTGAATATTTAGTCTGAGTTTTTCATTTCAGTGATTTAAGGACATGAATATGTGAAGTAATTTCAATAATCAATACACCACATTATTATATTAAATCACAGCGACCATGTTTAAATATCGAAGATTACTTCAGAAAGCTTCACAAATACTATATATTTCATCTTGCAGGCCTTTACAGCGAAATTTTGTAGATATTGCTGAATCTACTAATGAAAAGCCGAGCTATACCATACCACCTTTTTTAAAATTACCACCTAGAAGTGCCGAAATAAAAGAACAGAGTTATGATTATATCCTGGTTTTAGACTTTGAAGCTACATGTGATTCTCCCGTTAATGTTGTCCCCCAAGTATGTGTTTGATTTTAATAAAATTCTTTTAATATTCAGATTATATTTGCTTTCTTTTGCCCTCCTATACAGTTATGTCTGTTGATGATGTGTCTATAATTTAATAACTTCCATAACTCTACCCTAAAGACTGCTTTTTGATTTTAAGTTCATATATAAATAGCACTACTTTCATTAACCTTGTAATATGTAGTTGTCATTTTCTATATCCTGTTATTCATTGTATTGTACAATTTTTGTGTGATGATAATGCATTATTAATCTCATTAGTTGTGGTTAATTCCATAATATTTTTAATGTTTCTTAATTTTTAGAATTGTATTTTGCCTTCTTAATTTGTTTTTTTTTTCCTTGTAGGAAATTATAGAATTTCCAGTTCTTAAAATATGTGCAAAGACATTTGATATTGAATCAATCTTTCATGCATACGTGAGACCTATAACCAATCCAACTCTTTCAAAGTTTTGTTCCCAGGTAATAAGAATAGTTTTTGTTTATTGTACAGAAAACAGGCTCTTTCAAGAAACGCATAAACTTTAAATAAAATTATTTATTTATTTTATTACAAAAATAGTAAACCTTTATTTATTCATTTTGAGTAATTCATAAAATATACGTAATTTTAGATACAAAAATATTGAATAAGTTCAAATTGAAAAAATTAACAATTTCTTTCTCACATTCATGTTAAATCTTATATTAAAGTTTAAAATTATGCTTTAAAATCTCTCTAACTGAAATTGACAAAATCATGAAAATTTTTAGGATTTTATTCTAGGGATCTCAGGGAGTTTTGTTTTGATTAAAGAGTGGTCACCTTATTTCTTTTATGTTACATGTTATGATTTTTATTTTATTAACACATTGTACTAGTTTTGATATTTTAACATGATGTTTTTCAATTAGTTCATAATGAATTGACATTGCAGGGATCCAAATTTTGTAAAGGGCAAGATTAAATTGCATAGTCATAACAGTTCTCTGAATTTCACACAATTAAAAGAAAAAAAGAAGTAAATGTACAAAATACCTGCAAAAAGATTAATTATTTTATCACTTTCTTGTTTTTTACTTTAAAAAAATTAAATTGATGATAATTCATGAAGATTTTCTTTATTTCTCTGACATATTGAAGGGGACTCTTAGAGTTTTAGTAAGGAGGACATATATGTTACTGTAGGTGGACCAGAACAGACGTGCTAAGTGCCATATTAAGTAAAAAACAAAGCTTAAGGGTACTGTTTGTATTTCTTTTTGCCATACATTTAATTTAAATGAGCTAAAAGTAATTAGAAAAGAAAATATTTACAAAAAATATAGTTTCTCATTTTTGAGTTAGAAACTGAATAGTATGAATGAGTAATTTTCTGTAAAACAAAATGGAAAATGTTAAGTATTTATATGTTATTTTATATATATATATTTAAAAAAAATAGTGATAGCTTTCATTAAAATTTGAAACTCTTTAAATAGCAGTACTCCATTTTAGGGTTCTTAAAAAAAACTTATAATTATAGTACCTTGATAAGAAACTCTAGTAAAATACCGAAACTAATTTTTACTACAATTAATTCAGCATTGATAGCATCAATAAAATGCTTAGTAATTTTTTTACTACCCCTTCCCCCCAAAAAATTGAAAACAGATCAGTACCCTCTGATTATTTTTCTTTTACTTATTTGATGTGTAAGTGATAGAATGCTGAAATAATTCTTGTTAGAGGAGACGTTTTTTCTTCTTTTTAAGATTATTTCCAAAAAATTTTTTTATTTTGAGTTAGGTTTAACAATAAAAAAAAAACAGCTTTTTGTAGCGATTCAGAAAACCGGAAAAATCAGTTATCCGGAATAGCGATGGTCCCGATCGTTCCGGATAATCGGTTCCCTACTGTATTATTTTAAGAATTGCTACTGTTTCATATTAAACTGTTTATTTTCATTTTTGTTTTTAGTGCACTAGTTTCTTCTTAAATGTTGATTTTAATTTTTGATAATTAAAAAAGTTATTTTATTTTGTGTTCACTTTTTTTTCGCATCTATTGCTTTAGAAATATAAATGAAAAATTTATTCTAGTTAACAGGTATAACTCAAGAAATGGTTGATAACAGTCCAGTTTTTGAAGATGTGTATGAGGTAAAAGTATTGTTTTTTTGTTCCTGAAATTTGTAATGTTTATTGAAATTTATACACTGTTTAATTGTGATATAATATTTGTTTAACTTCTTTGCTCTCTGCTTACACTTTAAGTCCCTGTAACTATCTAGTATAATATGGTGACAGGATAATAACAAAATGGTTCCACTCATTATCCCTTCTTCCAATCAAATTAAAAATCAATAAAATTGTATAATTAAAATCATGTGTTTCACATTAATGATTAAGTAAAAAATACTCATTGTTTAGAAATAAACTGCACAAATTAAAAAAAATTATGATTAAAAGGACTCAAAATGTACAGATGATTATTGTAGCATTCAGGGTTTATAATTGTTCTGATTTTCTTAACAAAAANCACATTTTATAGGAATGCATTCATTTTCAGTCCCAACACCTACAAGTTTAAAGATGGAGGACTGAAAAAGATATTTGAAAAAATGAAATTTGAGTCCACTATAACAGAGTTTCTAAGTTCTAAGCTGTTCACTATAAGCGTTAAAAATAACATTATTCAAATTGGAATGCGGACGGGACCGCTAAAAAAGTTCACTACATCCGAGTGTTCACTATATCCCAGGTTCACTATAGCGGGGTTCGACTGTATAATTGATTATACAGCAATTTTAATGTAGGTTATGCATGTAAAAAATATTCTGTTTTAATTTATGGGATGGCTTAATGCTTCTAACTAAAATATAATATTTCTTTAATTTGCTTATTATCATTGTGACAATCCACATTTTTTAAATTATTATTTTAAGAATTGCTACTGTTTCATATTAAACGGTTTATTTTGATTTTTGTTTTTAGTGCACTAGTTTCTTCTTATATGTTGATTTTAAGTTAAAAAGGTTTTTTAAATATTTTTTCTTGTGTTAACTTTTTTTTTTGCATCCATTGCTTTGGAAATAAAAATAAAAAATTTATTCTAGTTAACAGGTATAACTCAAGAAATGGTTGATAACAGTCCAGTTTTTGAAGATGTGTATGAGGTAAAAATATGGTTTTTTTTGTCACTGAAATTTGTAATATTTATTGAAATTTATACACTGTTTAATTAATATTTGTTTCATTACTTTGCTCTCTGCTTACACAGTAAGTCCCTGTAACTATCTAGTATAATATGGTGACAGGATAGGATAAAAACAAAATGGTTCCACTCATTATCCCTTCTTCCAATCAAATTAAAAATTAATGAAATTGTATAATTAAAATCATATGTTTCACATTAATGATTAATTAAAAAATACTCATTGTTTAGAAATAAACTGCACAAATTAAAAAATTATGATTAAGAAGACTCAAAATGTACAGATGACTATTTTAACATTCAAGTTTTGTAATTGTTCTGATTTTCCTAACAAAAAATACTTTATCCTCGTTTATCCTGATTTTTAGTTTTTAGTCTTGATACTTCTGATTTTTGTATGTGTTCATAACAGCTCATTTTTCAAGAATACAAAAGTGAATTTTTTAAAAATGGATTTGAAGAATCACAAATTTTTGATTTGACATCTTTTTATTTTTTCATCACGAATTTCAGTGGTTCTAATTCAGGGACCGTCTAATAAATATATACATGGCTCAGTCATTTAGCCTTTACCCACAGGGTTCTTTGTTTCAACTTTTTTGAGAATTCACTCAATTTATGTAAAAGAAACTCTATTAACAATTTTATATAATCACATATTTATGGCGATGTATTCAGGTGTCATATGCTTATTTATTATTTTAAGCAATTTCAGTAAGAAATCTTATGGATCATTCTTCAGTAATTTTACAATAATTAATTTGTCTCTTTGATGTAATTTTAAAAATGGTTGATTCCAATCAACAATACAATAATTATTTCATTCACTAAAATTACTTTTGTACAAAAATGTTAAGTGACATATTTACTGTGTTTTCATTTCGAGATGATTGAAATCCCACTTTAAAATTATTTTATTAGGAAAATTTTAGAATAATTACAAATTTTTAATATATATTAATATGAAGGAGTATTAACTAATTGATATTGATTATTTTTCTTAATGCAACAATATAGACATTTTCCATGTACTTATTTGAAATTACTATTATGGGTTTTTCAACTCATTATATTGCAAAATTAGGAAATTTTGTTTCTGGAGAGTGGCCGGCTGTGACATTCACTTTCGCCAGCTGTGACAAGGCAAATTTCTCCCAATACTTGATCTGAGAGTTTCCTTGCCTTCTGGATTGGGTTCAAAATAACAAGGCTATGGAGTTGAACATTAGTACAGCCGTAAACCCAAAAGAATTGGGTCAGTTGTTCAACGACAGTTATAAAATAAAATATAGTTTAATTAATTATGAACAATGGTTTAAAATTTTTACTTAGATTAGGTATTATATACATATTTTTTACTTCACTAAATGTAAGTGCTTATATTATTTCCAATTTTGGATTTCTCTTTTTGACTTACATGATAATGCATGATGTATCAAAACTTTACTCGTAGCCTAAAAAATGTCGCTAGTGAAATCTCCACTATTTTATTTCTCCAATGTTGGGAGGTATGTTAATGTAAGGCGAAAATAAAAATTGATTTAGGGATATTTGCTTGCTTTTACAATACTGGGTTATGTGTCATTTACACAATGCAAGTGTAATGTAAGTTACACCTGGTCTGGTTAGTAGGACACTGGGCCCATGTCCAAGAGGTTGAGGTTGTGGGTTCGATCCCCACTGGCCGAAGACCTCCTTTGTAGTAAATGGTGTCTGATGCACGTTAAATCTGTCAATTCACAAAGTCCTCCATGTTCCCATATCAAATCATACCTCAGGGGGTACTGATCCAGGAGTTTCCTTGTTTGCTGGATTGGTTCAAAATTACAAGCCTATGGAGTTGAACATTAGTAGTCGTAAACCCAAAATTGGGTCTGCTGTTCAACGACGGTTATAAAATAAAATAAAGAAATTCAAGTTCAATGTTAAAACTTGAAATAAGATAATAACCTATATTCCAATTTAAACAATGGAGTAATGCTTTGGAATTAATAAAAATTTGAAAATATTGGTAATTAATTATGATTTTTTTTAAAAATATTCATTTTTGTAATTTATCTAATTTCATAAAAATTGAGCATATTACATATCTTAAATAATTTTCTAGTTTTTGATAAATTTAATTCTATTCTCTATTCTATTCTATGGTGGTAACTGTTTTGAAATTGCCATGATTTTTTTTTTCGATTTATCTATATATTTATTTTTAAATTCTGCTTTATAATTCTATATATTTTGAATGTTACTCCCATCTTGATATTTAACTATGGATTTCTTAAATTTATGACTTAAGGTCAAAACTTAAGAATAAAAAAAAAATCAATAGATAAAATTAAGATTTGTTCAGTGTAAATATTTGAACAGGTATAATGAATTAATTGTTTACTACTAAAAATGGTAAAATTAAATTTAATCATATCTCTTGTTAAGTGAATCCAGTTTTTGTTTGCAACCTAATTGAAAAAAAAAATTTTTTTTTGTTCAGTACATGTTTATATTTATTGTTGAATAATTAATTGCTCATTTTATATATTTTAACTGATATAATTATTTTTCATTTATATTTAGAGTTTTCAAAGATGGCTTCAGAAAGAGGAGCTGTTAGACAAAAATATAAAATTTGCTTTTGCCACTTGTGGAGATTGGGATTTGAAATATATGTAAGAAAACACTTAATCTTTGTAAGTTACTCTTTGTAAGTTATAAGGTTTTAATTTTAAAGCACAAATGTTAATCATGTCTAAATTTGAAGAAAACTGACTGATTTAGAGAGGTAAATTATTATTATTTTTTTTTACTCCTAGAGATTTGTGTTAAAGTTTTGCATGAAAATTATTTTTTAAATAATAATTTTTATTATCTGAACCAAAAATAAATAAATAAATAGATAGTTAAAAAATAAATTAATTAAAAAATTTTGAAACTTAACATTAACTTGCCTTTCTCTTTTTTTGAATATCAGCTAACATTTAAAATTGATTTATATTGTGAAGCCCTTCAGATTCACGGTTTAAGTTTTGTATTTTCAGAAATGTTATTTCTTACATCATTTTGTCCTTATATATTTATAACATGTTATTTATGTTGTTCATTTTAATGGTATATTTCTTATAGATTGCGAAGTAATTTAAAGATAAATATTGCAATCTAGTTGTTTAGCATTTCTTTCAAATTTTATTCAAGAAATAGCCGTATATCCTAGGAGAGATTATTTACAGAATGTATCCCAATTTGTTATGCAAATTCAATATTAAACTAATCATTTAAAAAAAATTAATTATAAAATCATTTATTATGAATAATTTTTTCGAATATTGTGGGGATAGTAGTTATTGACAATGTCAACCTTCATCTATGAAAATGTACCCCAACATAGAATCGAGTTGACATTTCTCAGATACTAGTGATTTGGAGTGAATTATTAGTCATTTACATTTTGTTATTTTTTGTTGAATTATATGTATTTATAGATGCTTATTGCTTAGTCTGAATTATGAAACTAAAGTAAATTTTTTCTAATAAGTTAATTCAAATTGTTATTTTACTTATATCAAACCTTTATATGTGCTTACAAGCTGTAAATTAGTCTGAATGTTCCTCCTCTTTACAGCATTTTTGTTATATAGTAACGTAAAATAAAAAAAAAAAATTTATGGAAAAACGTGCAGGTCCAAATAGGGTTTTCTGCATTGCAGGATCCATGAAGAGTTAAATGTGATTTAATTAAATTTTATGCTTTTTAATTAAATTAACAACATATTTTCTGTTTCTTAATTATAGCAGTCATGCATTCTAAGATAGCTTATAGATTAATTTTAATAATTAGTAAAACATTATAATTAATTCTGAATTATGAGACAGAAAATATGGAGGCAAAAAAAAGTAGTTTGACATCTTTCTGTACCTAATCACTAATGTTTTTTGTTGACTTTGTCTATTATTATTTTAATATTGTAATTTTTTATTAAATTTCACATTATCAATAATACATAAAATACCGTCACTCTTCATAATACCTAGGCATTTTATAGAATCCTTGTCAATGTGTGAAATGTTTGATTGTCTCTTACTTTATTGGCCAGTTTTCAACATTTTATAAATACCTATCTATTTTATATAAAAGCAGATTTCAAACTTTGTGGGTAACATTTATATTATGCCTGCTTATAAGTTTTTGTTTATCTTTTAATATATATTATTTTAATTTTATAGCTAATAGGATTTTTTTTAAAAAAATGTAAGGAATCTTTTCATTCTACTATTATCTTTCTGATTATATAACAAATAAATTAATTCTAAAAATTCTGTATTGTAAATTAATTACTTTAAAGGAATGTGTATTTCTTAAAGTTCATCACATGAATCACTTTCTTTAATGAAATATTTATCACTTTAGATTCCCAATGCAGTGCAAAGGTTTTAAACTTCCTGTTCCTGATTATATGAAAAAGTGGATTAATGTAAAAGTTGTAAGTATATTGCAACTTTTGTGGTTTTATATATGTTGCTATAATGTGGTTTTAGAAAAATAACTTTGTAGTTTTTTCTGTATTTATTTATTTGTATTTTTCATTTCTTTAATCTTTCTTGGGTTTCTTCTTTTTGTGTATCTTTCTCGTTTATTATTTATTTATTTATTGAATAATCAAACTAGAAATTTGTGAATTGTTCATGAAAGCAAAGTTTTTTTAGACCAATATATTGAAACTTGCCAACCTAGGATTGTTAAATGTAATGCTGTTAGAAAATTATGCGCAAAAATGAATTTGCTGTGTCTTGGTACAGTTATGATTGACAAACAATAATACATGAAATATTTTTTTTTTTAAATCTTGAAATTTATATGCTATTATTTATGAAGTTTTATTATAATATATCATTTCATTGGTTTTATGAAATGAAGACTTCTCAGATGAAGCACCTATATTTGGTTGCTAATATGGTCCATTTTTGTTCTCATGCCTAAATGTAAAAATATTTTCCACAATGTCCAGAACAAAAATATTAAATCGAGTTAAAATTAATAACTTAAACCATTTGCATTCAGAAAATATTTTTGTAAATGCAGTTATAAATTTTTGTTTTCATTTATGGTTTATATTTATTTTTTATTTTAGAATTTTGAAATAGGTTTTCATGTTTATCTCAATTATTTTGAGAATCAAAAGAAAACACATTTTCAAATATTGCACTTGAAATTGTTTTGAATTTAGGGAAGAGAAGGCCGTATCAATTTGCGAAGTTATTCAAAAATTATAGACAACTTAAATGTATAATGCATCTGTACATTCTAAAGCTGATTATTTGAATATTTATTCGTATATTTATTTGCATTCTCCACTAAACTCTTACATTTAGTTACCCTTATTTTTTTTAAAAATATTTAATGTAGTAGCAATGACTTAAATGTTGCATAATATTTCGATACATTCTGAAATTGATTATTTGAATACGATGATAATTCATATTCTGAACTAAACTCTTAAACTTATTTGACCTTGTTTTTTTTCTCTTTAATACATATTGGGGTGGAAGTACAAGCATAAATTCGTAAAAATGATATTTTTGTGTAATTTATAGAGTTTTGCTGAATTGACTACAGTATATCCAAGGAACATGATGACAATGATTAAATACTGCCAGTTAGAGCATGAAGGCAGATTACACTCTGGTGTAGGTAAGTTATAATTAGCTTACTAAAATGATGCTACCTTTCATATAGTAAATAAAGGAAACTGGAAGAACCTTGCTGTAGATAGCAAAGACTTGTAATAGCCTGTAATAGTGTACTGGTTAGTGTTATTCACTAACCAGTACAATAGGCTGACGTGCCTTGAAATAAGAAGAGAATCGTGTTATATATATGCAAAATTTGAACGACCGATTTCACTCAAATTTTGTGTAAATTTCACTCAACTTTTGTCTAAAAATCCAATGTCTAAAATTAAATATTTTTTTAAAATGATGTAAAAAATTGTATATCTTACAATTTAAAAATTTTTCAACCATTCTTAAATAATGTAATAAAAAATAATAAATCTGAACAAAAAGTAATTTTTTGCATCAAATTATCTTTAGATAAACCAATTTTATAATTGTTTAAAAGGGATTTTCAATTTGCTTGAAAAGTTCTTGAAATATGGGAAAATACCCAAAAAGTAAAATTAGCATTTAGGAATCTAAACTTAAGAGCACTATCCTGACCAAAATATTGAGACCATATTTTCCAGATTGCGGCTACCCCTATATCTTTTGGGTCCGAAATTCGAATCCTTAAAAAAAATTGTGTTTATTCAAAAAAATACATTTTTGTGTCTTGTTTCGTAACTTAATGTATCGCCTGCTTTTATTAATTAGCATATTTGAGGTCATCTCCTCAAGCTATTAAGTTTGAGACATAGAATGCAAAAATCCGATGATTAGACTAAAAGCTATTCAGATTGTTTTTGCTTTTTTTGCACTGTACACTAAATTCATTGTAAATCAGTTCAAAATTACTGATTTGTATAAGATACATACATATAAACATTCTGCTAAATTTTGTATATATTTAACTATCATATTAATTTAATTAAAATAGTTTTCAACATTGGATTTCTGTTTTTTTATTTCTTTCTCCTAAGTGGCAACTTTCTTCAACAAACATATTTCGCTGTTCTAAAGCTTCTCATTTCACTAAAGTTTCTAATTAGTTAAAATTCTGCTCAAAAGTAAAATGTGTGGAGCTTAAACTAATTATTTCAGCTTGANTTTCATGCCATTTGAATGATTTTTCGCAGTTCTATGAACATTTGAATTTAGAACTTTTTTTTGTAGATTTCAAAATTTTCGCAAACTTTTGACCGGTAGTGTATATTAATAGTTTTAAGGTTACTATAATTCTGAACATGGTTGTATCTAACAGTACCATTATTGGATAGCCGGTACCGGAAAGAATTTTTCCTGGCCATACTAATAACCTGGTAATAAAGATATGGCCGGATAATTGCTGTGTATCCAGCACATTTCTACTAAAGATTACTGTACTATCTAGAAGTTAATGACTCTAATAATGGTTTGAAAAATTAAAATTTGTAACTGTTAGTTATGTAAGTATTAATATTTTTTAAGTAATTTTGTTTTTTGTAAATTTCTTTATTAATTTTGTTTGCTAGTCAATAATAGTCTTTGTATAAATATTTTTCAGATGATTTCAAAAACATATCTTGGGATTTTAAACATTTAAATTAAGCAGTACATAACCATTGCATGCGTTAAAAACTCTTATGATTTATTAAAATAAAATTCATAATTGTTGGTTATATGAACATAAATGTTAATTATATAAACTATGACTTCATGTTTTGTAAACTTTGTTAATTTATTTATTATTTAATACTTATGTTATTCATTTATTTATGCTTTTCAGATGATTGCAAAAATATAGCAAGAGTTATGAAAAATTTAGCTGAGCGAGGGCTTGTTTATGTTTGTAATGCTGGGATACATTAATGGAATCTTTTTCTTCGAAAGTATATTTTTTTGTAAATAAAAGATTTTATCCATCAGTGTTGCTTTTGATATTATATAAAAAGGTATTTTGATATTATAAACGTCTAACATGTGTTTGAAGCCAAGTAGACATGTTTTAATATTAAACACATTTGTTTAAATTTGATCAATTATAATTTTACCTTTAAGCTACATATATTGAAACAATTTAAATAACTATATTAACTACTAAAGAAATAATTGACTAATTAATCTGCAACAAAATATTTGTATTAATATGATCTAGGTGTAGTTTCAATGTAACTGTGGTTGAAGACACTGAACTGTCACTGGGAAGAATTTGCGGGCTTTATTCCATGCTTAAGGCTTGAAGCCCACTTAGCATCAGATCAATGGATACCAGCTTATCTGGGAAGTAAACTCAGGTGGTGTGCAATGCCAATCCTCAAGGCAACCACCATACCGTCACCAAATTGCAAAGCCTTGACCTTCATGACCCACTTGTCCAACACCAAGCTGTTTCTGTAGCTTTTTACGTTTTATGATAGTGAATAGCCTCTTATGGAGCAATATTTCCCTTCTTGTGTACCATGTCATTATAATTTTTATCAAATTCATTACATATTCTTAACCTTCTGGCTGCTCATCCCGCAATTTCCATGGGCAACTCAAATGTAGCAAAATTTCTTCATGACACAATTTTTGCTACCATGTGTTTTTCTTAATTAATTGAGGAGCACATCCCGCCTTTCTAACGTCAAACCAGTGAAATAAATTATATACAGTATTAGACGTTTAATTTAGGATATGACCAACAGGTGTCGTTAGTCGTCCACTTAATTGCGTCATTCAAAGGTACTTGGTATTTATCGCTATAACTTCACTATGTTTGCCGCCTTTTTTTGATCAGAAATGGTTGCTGGAAAATATCCAGCGATTGACGTTATATTTTTGTCCTGCGATGCAATCTAAATATTTAAAAAAAATATATATCTACAGTCTATAATATACACCGAAGAGCCATTACATTATGACCACCCTCCATCTATAATAATGGGCTCTCCCAGGTTTTCATGAGGCACATTAGGAGCCATAATCCTTATAGAACAATCCTGACGTCTGTCAGCTACTTGAACATAGTTGCAGACCAGGTTCACCTATTCATGGCAACAGGTTTTCCTGCGGGGGGATGGTGTTTATCAACAGGATAATGCACCATGTCATAAGGGTCGAATCGTCATGGATTGGTTCGAGGAACATTCCAGTGACTTTCAAGTCATGTCTTGGCCCCCAAATCCATCTGACCTTAGTCCAATGGAGCCTATGTGGTCCTTCTTGGAAAACCAAATTCGTGCTGCCACGCTACCCCCTCGCAATGTGAGGGAATTGCAGGACCAGTTGGTGAGCGCTTGGTACCAGATACCTCAGACTACCTTATCAGCACCTTGTGGAATCAATGCCACGGCAGGTGCTAGCAGTTTTGAGGGCTAAAGGTGGTCATAATGTAATGGCTCTTCGGTGTATATACAGTCTATAAAAAAAATTTCCCAATATATATGGATTTAAATATGAAATGGAGCCTATGTGGTCCTTCTTGGTCCATTTGACTGATGCACCAATTAAAGCTTATATCTATTTAGATTGTAACAGTTGCATAGGTTTTAATGTGTTAAGAATTTTCTCAATTTGACTTCTAAAATGTGCAGGCAAAAATGTATAAAAAGGAAGGTTAAAAGCAAAACACATTTTATATGCTTCACTTTTAATGCCATTACCTTTGTTAACTTCTTACTTTCAATAAAGAAATTGTTGTCAATAAAGAAATTGTCCTTAAGGGTACAGAGGACCTTCAAATTTGAAAAAAGTGACCAAAATTTCGATTTTGAGATTTTTATTTTTTCTGAAAATAGACGTTGTAAGCTTTCAAACAAAAAAAAAAATTTGGAAATGGAACCCTTTTTTACTGAGATATGAGGATTTTAATTAGGCGACGCCCCTTTGTTTTCAAAAAACAGAAGTCGGTAGTTTGAATCAGCCGATTTTTTTTAGTTTCGTTTTAAGCTAAAAGCTGAAAGAACTTTATATTATTCATTTCAGAAGGGTTCTTCTGAAATGAAAATTAGTGACAGGAAGAAAATTAGTGACAATCAAAATTATGTAACAGTAGAAGGACCCTCCCATTGTGCAGGAGGATTTAAAAAAAAATTTCTATCTTTGACACTTCTATATTATATATATCGCACACAATTAGTTTTTACATTTGAATCAATGTTTCATTTTTCGGTTGATATATCATTCATATTTTTTAAAATAAATTAATTTCATGCTTACTAACTTATTTTATGTCATTACTTTAGTGAATTTTCTTGCGTTAAATTTTGAATAAGTAAATATGCTTGCTGAGTACGTTTGAGTATTTCTTTTCATAGGCACATATTGAATTGAATTTTTATCCATTTTAACCTAATAATGGAGATAAAAGAACAGATATAAGCTTAATTAGTCATTTTTTAGATATTATACACAACTAATAGTGTTATTTTAAATACATTTTAAAAATTGCTATTTTCTCGAAATAAAATTTTGACGGATTTTTGTGTTTTCGAAATGCTCCATTTGTCTCAATTTTTAGTTTTTTTGTTTGAAACTTGTTTTATGTGTACTATGTATGTATGTAATTAAAACTTACCATGTTTTGTTACCTAGAACATTGATAAAATTTGTTTATAGTAAAAAAAGTTCAAGATTTTTTAAATTTTTCCAGAAATTTTCATGAGATACATAAAAAGTGTGTTTTTTGAGCTAGAGCACTATAATTTGCCACTGAATGATGGTAACTTTTATTTGGAAGTCAAAAACGAGTCATATAAAAAAAAGTATGATTCTGCAATGAATTTTGTACCCCATGGAGTGTTTTGACTTTATCGGATTCCATGCTATTTTAAAATTTTAAAAGTTCAATAACTTTAAAATTTATCATTCAAATTACATGAAATTTTGCATACAGCTTTTTAAAGATATTAAAGGTAAATACTGCAAGTTTCATAAATGTATCATAAAAACTCTGAAAGTTGGTTCTTAAGGTCCCCTGTACCCTTAACCAGTTTGACAATTGAATACAAATGCTCTAAAGTAAATTATTTAGCAGCATGAAAAATAAAAATTATATCCTTAATATTTTGCTTACTGGTCTTAATCATAATTTTTTTGCATAACAGTTTCTTTTATATTTCACATGAAATACATTTAAACTTAAATGCACTTATGTTTAACCAACATGGGCTTGAATAATCTTTGCAAAGAACTTGAATTTAAAATAATTTTTTAAACGACCCCGAGAAACTGACTGACTCCGACCCCCCCTCGAATTGAAAATTATAGAACATACAGAAGGTGTGCATATAATATATATATATATATATATATATATATATATATATATATATATACATATATATATATATATATATATATATATATATATATATATATATATATATATATATATATATATATATATATATATATATATATATATATATATATATATATATATATATATATATATATATATATATATATATATATATATATATATATATATATATATATATATATATATATATATATATATATATATATATATATATATATATATATATATATATATATATATATATATATATATATATATATATATATATATATATATATATATATATATATATATATATATATATATATATATATATATATATATATATATATATATATATATATATATATATATATATATATATATATATATATATATATATATATATATATATATATATATATATATATATATATATATATATATATATATATATATATATATATATATATATATATATATATATATATATATATATATATATATATATATATATATATATATATATATATNTTACCAACAGGATAATGCACCATGTCATAAGGGTCGAATCGTCATGGATTGGTTCGAGGAACATTCCAGTGACTTTCAAGTCATGTCTTGGCCCCCAAATCCATCTGACCTTAGTCCAATGGAGCCTATGTGGTCCTTCTTGGAAAACCAAATTCGTGCTGCCACGCTACCCCCTCGCAATGTGAGGGAATTGCAGGACCAGTTGGTGAGCGCTTGGTACCAGATACCTCAGACTACCTTATCAGCACCTTGTGGAATCAATGCCACGGCAGGTGCTAGCAGTTTTGAGGGCTAAAGGTGGTCATAATGTAATGGCTCTTCGGTGTATATACAGTCTATAAAAAAAATTTCCCAATATATATGGATTTAAATATGAAATGGAGCCTATGTGGTCCTTCTTGGTCCATTTGACTGATGCACCAATTAAAGCTTATATCTATTTAGATTGTAACAGTTGCATAGGTTTTAATGTGTTAAGAATTTTCTCAATTTGACTTCTAAAATGTGCAGGCAAAAATGTATATAAAGGAAGGTTAAAAGCAAAACACATTTTATATGCTTCTCTTTTAATGTCATTACCTTTGTTAACTTCTCACTTTCAATAAAGAATATAAATTGTCCTTAACCAGTTTGACAATTGAATACAAATGCTCCAAACTAAATTATTTAGCAGCATGAAAAATAAAAATTCTATCCTTAATATTTTGCTTACTGGTCTTAATCATAATTTTTTTGCATAACAGTTTCTTTTATATTTCACATTTAAACATAAATGCACTTATGTTTAGCCAACTAACTTGCTAGGTTTTATTTATCTCTTTTTTCTGAGTCTATCAGTAATTTGTTGATGGATCGTATATTTTAATTAAAGTAAGCATAAACAAATGCTGGAATCAGATCCTGTTTACTTCTGGTGAGAAAGATACTGTTCTTTTCCACAAGCAGCGATAGCGACTTGGCAACAGTATTGAACCGGAAAGGGATGTGATCCTTTAAGATAGTTATTCTCCGAAGTTCTATTTAAGCTTTTCTATTTCAGTGTTCCAATGGGCATGAATAATCTTTGCAAAGAACTTGAATTTAAAATAGTTCTTTAAAAGACCCAGA